TTCTGGACCCCCACTATAGAAAGGATTTGGGCAAGTTGGAGAGAGTCCACCAAACAGCAAAGAAAATGGTTAGGCGGCTCGGGCACATGTCTTCTGAGAAGAGGCTGAGGGAACAGGTCTTATTTAATCTGCAGAAAAGAAGACAGAGGGAATTTGGTAACAACCTTTAACTAACTGAAGCAGGGTTCAAAAGAGGATTGAGCTAGACTGTTATCAGTAGTGGCAGATGACAGAACAAGAAGCAATGGTCTCAAGTTGCAGCAAGGGAGGTGTAGGTTGGATATTGGGAAAAACTTTCTCACTAGGAGGGTAGTGAAGCACTGGAACAGATTACCTAGAGCAGTGCTGGAAACTCCGTCATTGGAGGTTTTTAAGATGTAGCTTGACAAAGCCCTGGTTGGAATTATCTAGTTGGGGATGGTCCTGCTTTGAGCAGGGGTTTGGATTAGATGACCTTTTCAGGTCCCCTCTAACCCTAATTTTCTATGATTCTAAGTGAGCGGTGAAGAGTTTTAAAATGTTAATTAGCAAACTGGTCCTTATATTCTCTTTGATGTGTTTGGAGACATAATGAACCTTCACTCTTCACAGTCTAGTTACTGCAAATTGGACAGCATCTGCCCTTAGAAATATACCTTTTTAAAATATAGGATACGTTTAAAAAAGCTGTGTTACTTGGAATTTCTGCATTTTCCTCTTATCAGACTGTTTGCATAATTCAGATAATGAATTGAGGGGATTATGAAAACTGCTAGGCTAGAAAAAATTGTCTAATCCGCCCCTCCCACACCACAGAGCTGGGCAACCAGGTCAGGTTGTTGGGGGTAGGGGGGTTGCTCTCCCCCCCCATCAGCATCCTTCCCTAACGTCTTTTTCATTCCTCTTTCCAAATCTGTTGTCTAAGATAACATATTATCCTGTGATTTTCCAGTCCTTTTTTTTTCACTGGAGATTTTCCAATTCCCATGGAATAGCAGTCTCTCTTTCGTTTTTTCCTACATTAGAGAAGAATCAAATACCTGTTAGAATATCTGCTTATTTGCATCTTTTTAAACCTTTAGTCTTTGTCCCTTGGAACAATCTTTTAAATTACTCTACCTGGGGTGTACAAACATTCAGTTTTTAGCACTGCAAGTACCACAGCACTTCAAGGCACTACAAAAATGTAGCAGTACCTGGCAGGGACTGACCTGCAGAGTCCCTTAGCTGTAGCACTACAAAGTCACTGCAGATAACTCAGCAGCTTGCTTTCCAATCAGGGTGCAATAAGGGATTACTCAGACCTGTGGTTCTGCTTCTCATGTCTCCCACTGGTGGGAGGGAAGCCCTTCAGAGCCTACTCACTGATAGGCTGCTGACCTCTATAGGGCATGGCAAGATGGAGCCATGTATGAGCCCAGCACCCAGAACTAGGATAGCACTTTGCAAGTTTCTGTTGCCATGTCAGGGAAAGCTGTAGCCTCTAGTCCTGGCTGGACTGCTGGTCCACTCCATGGTGGGCTGTTGTCATTCAGCCAGCTGCTCTCTCTCCTTCCCACCTTGGGGGACCAGAGTGGAAGATCACTCTGCTGTGGGCTTTTGGGAGAACAAAAGATTCCCTGTAGCATTACATGTATCTGTACAGATGTTCCATATGCTACAGAAAATTTCCTGTTTCAACTAGGACCATTTCTGTAGTGCTTAGGCAATTCTTGTAGTGCTACAGGCAGGGTATACATCTGTACATCTGCTTTTTCAGCACTATAATGGAATATAGTGCTATAAACATAATGTCTGTCCACAGCCTCTGTTTTTTTTATCCAGGTACTGTTGAAAAATGTGACTATTTGCAGCTTGCAGTATTAGAGAAAATAGCCAGTTCCATATCTTTTATACTTAGAGATATAGATATATAGATAGATATCTTATATATGTAACATTTATCAGATACCCAAGTCAATTTAAATCTCAAGAAAAGACAGTACAAAGAGAGGTGGAACAGAAAATAGGTCTGTGTAACATCCACAAATGACCTGTGCTAGTGTCGTATTTATATATCATTTTAATAGTACAATTTTGCCAAAGTTAACCATGCTTCCTCAAGGAAACAAAACTCAGACTTTATATAGAGGCACTCTCAAAACAAATCATTATGTTCCTAATGAAGTGTGTTCTTTTTCCTTCCATTTTTCCAGGATGTTATTTATGTGAATCAATTAAGTTCTCCAGCAGCAGATAAATTCCATATCTCTCTTAGTATCCAGGGAATCAAATTAACCTGGGTAGGAACCTGTTGCCAGATACTTTGAAATATCTGGCATTTACACAGTATGAGTCTGAATGAGCCATTCAGCTCATCATAATTGTAATGATGACTAATGATCAGCAATCTTATATTCCACCTCCTTTATTGTTATCTGACGTATACAGAGCACATTTTTGTTCAACAAACTGCATCATCACATCCAGGATGGCATTTTTAAAGAGATATATGTTATTGTCTGCACAAGATTAAATGCTGTGCTTTTACTGCAATTAATATTACTTCCACATCTAATTGGTTACTATGGTTCAATGTAATTGAATATCCAGTAATTTCAGATAACCAGTATTGAAGGATGTCTTCAGCTGGGACCAAGAGTCTGTTTTGGAATATTTTTTCCCGTACAGTAAAAGGTGTTCATGTCTGCAAGAAGTTAGTCATACTAGAAAACTTTCCTGAACTTTAATGTCTTGAGAGCCTGCAGTATGTAGGTCTAGAGTGACCCAGAGATTAAAACTGAAGATAAACGTATATAACAGTAATACTGGATTCAGTAACATATTTTAGAAATCGAGCAGCTAAACTTTGGAAGTACATTGACAGGACATTCATAGCTGCAAAGAAAATTAACTTAATAAGGGCTTTGCTATGGAAATATTTACACATAAGACGCACAAGAATTCAAATCTGGCAGTTAAATGGAGTAAGTTTCCAAGGTGAAGATATGATTATTGGAATTAAGATGTATTCAACTAAACTGGATTAAGTTCAATGTGTGAATATTTCTACTATAACTTCCTTCATGGAAATAGTTAAAAATTGAAATGTATGTTGTCACCATCAGGTGTTAGCACCTGTCAAGTTAATTGAAGGAGTTACAACTATCTCAGAGGATTTGTTTTATCTGCCTACAAAATTACTCAGGCAGCTCTACATCAATTCATATTCAAAAGGTTTTTCTCTGCATGTAGTATTAGCAACATCATCTTTCAGTAAATAAAAACTTAAACTCAACAGAAGGCATTGGAGTCTATGGAGACCGTTTCAGTTTGTGGCACCTCATGGAATTCCTGCTATGCATGTTTTCATTGGCCTTGTCTATCATGTCACTAATTATTTGTGCAATGCTGCAGTGATAGATTTCCTGGTCACCAAATGCATGGTACACCATTTATAGCATGTTAAATGCAGCACTGTTTATCTCAGTGAAGCTCAACCCACCTACCTGTAGTCTAATTTTATCCCCTAATTCTTACATGTATTCAAAAATCGCTTCTAAGATTAAACAAAAAGTACCTTATGTATGTCAAGGTACAAGTTTCCTATTGCCCTTTATGAGGTTATGCAATATCTACTCATTTGCCATTGTTATGCATTGTTCTGTTTGCCTGTTGTCAGCCCTGGATATATATAGATATAGATATAGATAGATATATATGCACCTATCTTAAGTTATGTGCTTTCTTTAGTGGAGTTTCAGATCAGATGTATACCTGTTGAGCACAAGCAGCTTGCGTAGTTGAGCACAAGCAGCCAGACATGGTGGGGCTCACTGAAACGTGATGGGACCCAGTGCGTGACTGGGCAGTGAATATCAAGGGCTATAGGCTGTACAGGAGGGACAGAACAGGGAGGAAAGGCTGGGGTGTGGCACTCTACATTAAGGAGGAATACACATCCTCATCAAGTAGCACAGAGTCAGAGGAGGGGCACACTGAAGTGCTCTGGGTTAGAATACAAGGCAGTCAAGGGGAAAGAGACTTAACGGTGGGGGTCTACTACAGACCACCCAACCAAGGGGAAGAGCTCGACCAGGAATTCTTAAGTCAGCTCACAGAGGTAGTTAGGTCAAAGGACATTGGTCATCATGGGTGACCTGAACTTTCCAGACATCTGCTGGGAAGAGCAGTCAGCCAGGTCTGACTGTTCACGTAGGTTCCTAGCCAAAATGCAGGACCTCCATCTAATCCAGGAGGTGCACAGCCCCACCAGGGGAGACGCCTTGTTGGACCTGGTGCTGGCCATGGATGATGACCTGGTGAGGGGTCTGCGGGTGCT